TTCTCAGGCCCCCGCACCACTGGTGCCAGCAACCCAGGCACCTGCAGTACCTATATCAGCTCCTCAAGTCTCTGTACCACAAGTATTGCCTCCTCTGGTACCAGTGCCACTAGTATCAGCTTCTCAGGTGCCTGTAGCATCAATGGACGTATCTCAAGTCCATGTTGCACCTGTGCTAGTTCCTCAGACATCAGCAGTCACAGTGCCAGCTGAGGTCCAAACAGCACTTTCGCAGGTCCCTGCAGCACCAATGCCAGCTGCTCAAGTACCTGTATCACAGGGCCCAGCTCCTCAGATCCACGTGGCACCATTTTCAGTTCCTCAAGCCCCTGCAGCACCAGTGCTGGCTCTGCAACTCCCTGAAGCACCAGTGCCAGCTCATCAGTCCTCTGTGGCACCAGTGCAAGTTCAGCAGATCCCTACAGTACCAGTACATGCTTCTCAAGTTCTTGTAGCACCAATGCGAGCCTGCCAGGTCCCTGTGGCACAAGCTCCATATACTCAGGCCCCTTCAGTAGTGGTGCCAGTTCATCAGGATGCTGGGACCAAAACAGCAGAACAAGGTTCACATTATAGATTTTGCCAGTGGCAATATCAATCACCACAAGAGCAGGCTGTAGCTCCGGCATGTGGAGCTGGTGCCACAGTGCCGGCTCCTCATGTCCCTGGCGTACCAGTGTTAGCTCCTGGGATCACTGCAGTACCTGTGCCAGCACATCAGAACCCTGGAGTACCTTTGCCAGTTCCTCAGGTCCATGTTGCACCAGTGCTCATTTCTCATCCCCCTGCAGTACAAATGCCAGTTCCTCAGGTCCCTGCAGCAGCAGTGCACATCAATCAGATCCCTGTAGCATCAATATCAGCTCCTCAGGTCCCTGGAATAAGAGTACCAGCTCAAGCCCCAGCAGCAGTTCATCAGGTGCTTGCAGAACCAGTGCCAGCTCATCAGTTCCCTGCAGTAACAGTTTCTCAAGCTTTTCCAGAACCATCACAAGCTCATCATGTCCATGTTTCACCACTGCAAGATTATCAGGTCCCAGCAATCCCAGCTACAGTTTGTCAGGCTCCTGCCGCACAAGTTCAAGCTCATCAGATCCCTGCAGTGTCGGTTCCTCATGCACCTGCAGCACCAGTGCAAGGTCATCTGGTCCCTGTAGCACCGGGTCAAGCTCATCTGGTCCCTGCAGTCCCAGTGACAGTTCCTTGGGGCCCTGAAGCAGCAGTGCAAGCTCATCAGATACCTGTGGCATCAGTGTCAGTTCCTCAGGCCCCTGGAGAACCAGTGGCAGTTTCTCAGGCACCTGCAGCACCAGTGCAAGCTCATCTGGTCCCTGTAGCACCAGTTCAAGCTCATCTGGTCCCTGCAGTCCCAGTGACAGTTCCTTGGGGTCCTGAAGCAGCAGTGCAAGCTCATCAGGTCCCTGTGGTACCAGTGCCATATACTCAGGCCTCTTCAGTAGTGCCACCAACTCATCAGGATGCTGTGACCAAAAGAGCAGAACAATGTTCAAATTACAGATTTGGCCACTGGCAATATCAGGCACCACAAGAGCAAGCTGTAGCTCTGGCACAAGTGCCAGCTCCTCATGTCTCTGGAACACCAGTGCCAGCTCATCAGGTCTCTGCAGTACCTGTGCCAGCTTATCAAGTCTCTGCAGTACTTGTGCCAACTCATCAGGTCTCTGCAGTACCTGTGCCAGCTCATCATGTCCCTGGGGTACCAATGTTAGCTCCCCAGGTCCCTGCAGTATCTGTGCCAGCTCATCAGGTCACTGGAGTACCATTGTCAACTCTTCCGGTCCCTGCAGTAACTGCGCAAGCTCCCCAGGTCCTAGGAGCACCCGTACCAGTTCCTCAGGCCCCTGCAGCATTCGTGCCAGTTTTTCATCCCCCTGCAGCACCAGTGCAGGCTCTTCACATTCCTGAAACACCAGTGCCAGCTCATGAGGTCTCTGTGGCACCAGTGCAAACGCATGAGATCCTTGTGGCACCAGTGCATGCTTCTCAATTTCCTGTAGCACCAGTGCCAGTTTATCAGGTCCATGTGGCTGCCGTGCCATATACACAGGCCTCTTTAGCAGTGGCACCAGCTGATCAGGATGCTGTGACCAAAAGAGCAGAACAATGTTCAAATTACAGATTTGGCCACTGGCAATATCAGGCACCACAAGAGCAAGCTGTAGCTCTGGCATCAGTGCCAGCTCCTCATGTCTCTGGAGTATCTGTGCCAGCTCACCAGGTCCCTGGAGTAACAGTGTCAGCTCTTCTGGTCCCTGCAGTAACTGTGCAAGCTCCCCAGGTCCTAGGAGCACCCGTGCCAGTTCCTCAGGCCCCTGCAGCAGCAGTGCCAGTTTTTCAGCCCCCTGCAGCACCAGTGCAGGCTCTTCACATCCCTGAAGCACCAGTGCCAGTTCATCAGGTCTCTGTGGCACCAGTGCAAACTCATGAGATCCCTGTGGCACCAGTGCATGCTTCTCAATTTCCTGTAGCACCAGTGCCAGTTTATCAGGTCCATGTGGCTGCCGTGCCATATACACAGGCCTCTTTAGCAGTGGCCCCAGCTGATCAGGCTGCTGTGGTAAAAAGAGCAGAACAATGTTCAAATTACAGATTTGGCCACTGGCAATATCAGGCACCACAAGAGCAAGCTGTAGCTGTGCCATCAGTGCCAGCTCCTCATGTCTCTGCAGTATCTGTGCCAGCTCATCAGGTCCCTGGAGTACCAGTGTCAGCTATTCCAGTCCCTACAGTAACTGTGCAAGCTCCCCAGGTCCTAGGAGCACCCGTGCCAGTTCCTCATGTGTCTGGAGCACCAGTGCCAACTTATCAGGTCTCTGCAATACCTGTGCCAGCTCATCAGGTCCCTGCAGTAACTGCGCAAGCTCCCCAGGTCCTTGGAGCACCAGTGCCAGTTCCTCAGGTCCCTGCTGCACCAGTGCCAGTTCCTCAGTCACCTGCAGCACCAGTGCAGGCTCTTCACTTTCCTGAAGCACCAGTGCCAGCTCACCAGGTCTGTGTGGCACCAGTGCAAACTCATCAGATCCCTGCAACACCGGTGCATGCTTCCCAAGTTCCTGTAGCACAAGTGACAGCTCATCAGTTCCTTGTGGCACAAGCTCCAGTTCCTCAGCTGCCTGCAGCAATAGTGCAAGCTCTTCACGTTCCTGAAGCAGTAACTGTGCAAGCTCCCCAGGTCCTAGGAGCACCAGTGCCAGTTCCTCATGTCTCTGGAGCACCAGTGCCAACTCATCATGTCTCTGCAGTACCTGTGCCAGCTCATCAGGTCCCTGGAGTAACAGTGTTAGCTCCCCAGGTCCCTGCAGTATCTGTGCCAGCTCATCAGGTTACTAGAGTACCAGTGTCTGCTCTTGCGGTCCCTGCAGTAACTGCGCAAGCTCCCCAGGTCCTTGGAGCACCAGTGCCAGTTCCTCAGGTCCCTGCTGCACCAGTGCCAGTTCCTCAGTCACCTGCAGCACCAGTGCAGGCTCTTCACTTTCCTGAAGCACCAGTGCCAGCTCCGCAGGTCTGTGTGGGACCAGTGCAAACTCATCAGATCCCTGCAACACCAGTGCATGCTTACCAAGTTCCTGTAGCACCAGTGGCAGCTCATCAGGTCCTTGTGGCACCAGCTCCGGTTCCCCAGCCGCCTGCAGCAATAGTGCAAGCTCTTCACCTTCCTGAAGCACCAGTGCCAGCTCATCTGTTCTCTGTGGCTCCAGTGCCAGCTCATCAGATCACTGCAACACCAGTGCATACTTCTCAAGTTCCTGTAGCACCAGTGCCAACTTATCAGGTCCCTGTGACGCCACTGCAAGCTGATCAGGTCCCAGAAGTCCCAGTTACAGTTTTTCAGGCTCCTGCAGCACAAGTGCAAGCTTATCAGATCCCCATGACACCAGTGCTAGTTCCTCAGACCCCTGCAGTCATAGTGCCAGCGCCGACCCAAACTGCAGTTTTCCAGGTCCCCGCAGCAGCACTTGTGGCTCCTCCAATTCCTGTATTACAGGTACCTGCTGCTCCTCACTTCCATGTGGCACCAGTTCCATTTCCTCAGACCCCTGCAACACCACTCCAGGCTCCTCATGTGCCCGAAATGCCAGTGCAAGCTCATCAGGTCCTTACAGCACCAGTGGTAGCTCCTCAAGTCCCTGCAGTCTCAGTGTCTGGTGCTCAAATCCCTGCAGCAGCAGTGCAAGCTCATGGGGTCCATGCAGCATCAATGTTAGCTCCTCAGGTCCCTGCAGTAATTGCACCAGCTCAGACCCCAGCATCACCAGTGGAAGGCCTACAGGCCCCTGTGGCATCGGTGCAAGCTCCTCAGGTCCCTGCAGTCCAAGTGCCCATTTTTCAGGCTCCTGCAGCAGAAGTACAAGCTTATCAGATCCATGTTGCACCAGAGCTAGTTCCTCAGGTCCCTGCTTTAACAGCGCCAGTTCTGCAGGTCCATGTTACTCCAGTGCTAGTTCTCCAGACCCATGCATTAACAGTGCCAGGCCCTCAGGTCTGTGCTGCACCAGTGTCAGTTCCTAAGACATCTGCAGCACCAGTGGCAGGTCCTTATGCACCTGCAGCACCAGTGGCAGTTCCTCAGGTCTATGTTACACTAGTGCTAGTTCCTCAGACCCCTGCAGTAACAGTGCAAGCTCGGGCCCCTGAAGCAGTTCATCAGGTCCCCGAAGCACTAGTGCAAGCTCATCAAGTCTCTATATCACAGGTGCCAGATCCCCAGGTCAATTTGGCCCGAGCAGCAGTTCCTCAGACCCTTGCAGCACCAGTGCAAGCTCATCTGGTCCATGCAGTACCAGTGTCAACTCCTCAGGTCCCAACAGTGCTAGCTCCTAAAGTTACTGTACCACAGGTGGCAACTCCTCTGGTCCCTGTAGTTGTGGTACCAGCTCAGGCCCCAGCAGCAGTTCCTCTGGCTCCTGCAGAACCAGCGCAAGCTCATCGGGTCCTTGTGACACCAGTGAAAGCTAATCAGGTCACTGTGCCAGTTTCTCATGCCACTGCAGAACCAGCGCAAGCTCATCAGGTCCCCATCACACCAGTGCAAGCTAATCAGATGTCTGCCGCACCTGTTCACATTCCTCAGGTTCCTGCAGCACCAGTTCATGTTCCTCAGGTTCCTGCAGCACCAGTTAATGTTCCTTGGGTTCCAGCAGCACCAGTTTACGTTCCTCAGGTTCCTGCAGCACCAGTTCATGTTCCTTGGGTTCCTGCAGCACCAGTTCATGTTCCTTGAGTTCCTGCAGCACCAGTTCATGTTCCTCAGGTTCCAACAGCGCCAGTTCGTGTTCCTCAGGTTCCAGCAGCACCAGTTCATGTTCCTCAGGTTCCTGCAGCACCAGTTCATGTTCCTCAGGTTCCAGCAGCACCAGTTCATGTTCCTCAGGTCCTAGCAGCACCAGTTCATGTTCCTCAGGTTCCTGCCGCACCAGCTCAGGTTCCTCAGGTCCTGACTCAAGAAGCAAACACTGAAGCTATTCCCCAGGTCGACCCTCAGCAGGAATTATTCCTAGTACCACATTGCCCATGTGATGGCAGTGTTGGGTATTAAGTTTAAAAATCTGTATCTGTATCTCTGTATCTGATTCCAAGAATGTTTCCCAAACGAAACTCCATTGTCTGCCCTGAGCTGGAAATCAGTTCAGTGAATCTTGTAGTGTTCTTGTAGTATCTGTAGAAACCGGAATAAAGCTTCATTCTAACAGTCTCATGTTGGTGTGTTTTTCATGGCTTGATCTTTATGGTTTATCTGCTTCAACATAAATGAGAACCCCAACGAGATAATAGTTCCTCCACCTTCTATAGAGCTCTGTGAGTGGGGATATTCTATCTAATTATCCACCTTGGCCTCAGAAGGAAAAACATTCACCTGTGAGGTAACAATGCCCTCAGCTGCCCCCGGGGGGTCGTCTTGACTCCTCTGGATCAAACCTGCCAGAGTTAACAATAGTCCATACTCCATACACATGGAAGGCCAGAAAAAAAAAGGTTTTCCTGGATGATGTGGGGAAGATCCATATTGGTTTATTCTGCAGATTATTCCATCAGTGACCTCTCTGGAGATCTGCAGAACATTGCTCTAGAGCTCTACTGGGGCTCTATGAGGGGTATCTACTAGGGCTTAAAGGTTTACAAGAAGCTCTATGAGGGGCCCCTACTGGGACTTAATTGTAGAGCTGTGCTGGGACTCTATACAGGGGCTCCAACTGGGGCTTAATTGTAGAACTGTACAGGGGCTCTATAGAGGGGCTCCAACTGGGTAATAAATTAAAATCTCAACAGGGGCCAAGGCCACCAACAGGGGGGGTACAGCTGATACCCATGTAAGGGGCCCAGGCCCTGTGGCGGCCGCACTGCCGGTAGTTACAAGGCTTAGTGAGCCCACTGACAGGGGAGAAGTAGGAAGAGGCCGGGCCCCAGCAGCGCCGTTCCAGCAGTGGAGGAGACCAGGCCCCAGCACCATCGGTCCGGCCACAGAGGAGGCTGGGGCCCAGCAGCGCCAGTCTGGCGGCAGAGAAGGCCAGGGCCCAGCAGTGCCGGTCCAGTGTGCTTGGCGGTGGAGGAGGTCGGGGCTCAGCAGCGTAAGCAGGTAAGAGGAGCTGCATGACCAGCCCACCTAAGACCCTATTGAGAGTCTTAGATGAGCTGTGCTCTGCAGGGTCACTCTCAGGTGGGCTATGTGGGGTCTAAGGTGGGTCCTGAGTCCAGTGCGTTATTAAGTCCTAAGTCCAGTGCGTTACTAAGTACTGAGTCCAGTGCGTTACTAAATCCTGAGTTCAGTGCGTTACTAAATCCTGAGTTCACTGCGTTACTAAATCCTGAGTTCAGTGCGTTACTAAATCCTGAGCTCAGTGCGTTACTAGGTCCTGAGTTCAGTGCGTTACTAGGTCCTGAGTCCAGAGCGTCACTAAATCCTGAGTCCAGTGTGTTACTAAATCCCGAATCCAGTGCATTACTAAGTCCTGAATCCAGTGCATTCCTAAGTCTTGAGTCCAGTGTGTTAATAAGCCTTGAGTCCAGTGCGTTACTAAGTGCAGAGTCCAGTGCGTTACTAGCCCTGAGTCCAGTGCGTTGCTAAGTCCAGAGTCCAGTGCGTTATTAAGCCTTGAGTCCAGTGTGTTAATAAGCCTTGAGTCCAGTGTGTTACTAAGTCCAGAGTCCAGTGCATTACCAAGTCCTGAGTCCAGTGCGTTACTAAGCCCTGAGTCCAGTGCGTTACTAAGTCCTGAGTCTAGTGCGTTACTAAGTTCTAAGTCCAGTGCATTACTAAGTAAAGAGTCCAGTGTGTTACTAAATCCTGAATCCAGTGTGTTACTAAGTCCTGAGTCCAGTGCATTACTAAGTGCTGAGTCCAGTGCGTTACTAAGTCCTGAGTCCAGTGCGTTACTAAGTCCTGAGTCCAGTGCGTTACTAAGCCCTGAGTCCAGTGTGTTACTAAGTCCTGAGTCCAGTACGTTACTAAGCCCTGAGTCCAGTGCGTTACTAAGCCCGGAGTCTAGTGCGTTACTAAGCCCTGAGTCCAGCACGTTACTAAGCCCGGAGTCCAGTGCGTTACTAAGTCCAGAGTCCAGTGCTTTACTAAGCCCTTAGTCCAGTGCGTTATTAAGTCCAGAGTCCAGTGTGTTACTAAGCCCTGAGTCCAGTACGTTACTAAGCCCTGAGTCCAGTGCGTTACTAAGCCCTGAGTCCAGTGTGTTACTAAGTCCTGAGTCCAGTGCGTTACTAAGTCCTGAGTCCAGTGTGTTACTAAGCCCTGAGTCCAACACGTTACTAAGTCCTGAGTCCAATTCATATACTATTATTCTGCATTGCTGTATAATGTATTGCTGGGATTTGTAGTCCCCCTACAGCTGGTGCCATTCTGCATTAGAGTGTAAGCTCCTTTGTACAGAAACAAATGTGACTGGCTCACTGTTCTCTGTGCAGCACTGTGATATATATCAGATCTATATAAATGTATAATAGTGTGAGACTGCGGGGGGACCACAAGTACCAGCATGCCATTGGCAGCTAGGGGGGCCTAGTCATGTAGGCTGTATGGGGCCCCATGATTTCTAATGGCGGCTCTGGCAGGGGCTGTATGAGGTACCCCTACTGCAGCCTTTATCATAGAGCTTTACAGGGGCGAAGGAGCAGATCTCACAGATATGAGCGCATGCAGCTGAGGTCTTTGAACGGTACACGGTGAGTAATCCTGAAGCTTTGTGCTGCCCTAAAAATCTGACCACACACGTGACAATCTGATTGTACAATCTCCTTTAGACCTGCCATCAAACAACATGTAGCACCAGGGCCCACCTCATAAGATGGCTCAGGCAGCCTGTGACATCACAATGATCTATGGCCGGCTCTATTATCGTTATACATATGGGAGGCCCGGCAGTGGGGTAAGACGAGGGCCGGGAACCGGTTGTTCCAGCAGCCGAGCAGAACCTTCCCTCGGGGCGATCTCTGTGAAAGGGAGAACTCCGCTCTATATAAACACTGACATACTTTGCATGGTAGGAAAGGGTGGCGCTCCACGGGTCATAACCTGCAATATCAAAGCCCTCCGGGGGGAAGGGGGGGACCGGCCCAGACATCGTCCCTAGAGACATGATACGGCTTGTCCCTCCCCGTGCAGCTTTCATTAAAAGGGGCGGAGCTTTAGACTGAGACACTTTTCATACATATATAGCCCATGTGGCGCACACTGTTACATTCCATTAACAAAGCCCACCTATTTTTCCAAACGCAACACATTAATTTCGAATGGCACCCCAGTGCATCTGTTCCTATAGTGTATTGGGGTGCCATTCAAAATTAATGGCATTGCGGTAAGTCTAAACGACAGAACTTTAGGTACACGCAGACAGCTCACAGACAAAAATCTTATCAGTGTGTGTGCAGCAGTGATAGCCCTAATTTCCTGGGTGGGTCACCAGGACAGGAAGTGAGGGTCAATCCCCCCAACGCTGGACAGACGCTACCCCGCTACATCTGCAACTAAAAGGAAACGCGTGGAGTGGTGTTCTCCTTTAAATTCTAGCCAGGGATTATTAGCTTGCTCGCAATCCAGCCGTCATCGGGTCATAAGATGGCAGCAGCAAGCCGAGCGATTGTTGTCATGTGACCGGCCTGGCGTCGCACTTCAAAGGGAACCATCCCACCCATTTACTGATCGATTGATGCTTTCATGGCATGGATCAGTTCATAGAGCATGGTGCGGCTTGCTTTGATTTTCACGCACGCTTAGAGCGGGGACCTCTCCAGACGTGTCTAATCTAAAGCTGGCCATACAGTCTACAATCTCCTTTAGGTCTACCATTAACCATGTGGTACAACTGAAGTCAATGTGGGGGGAGGGGGAGGACCGTAGTATAAAAAATAACGCAAAATGTAAAAAAGAAAAACCAGCCGCTTGAACCGCAATACAGCGCACCCAAAAATGCACAGCATATGCGCTGATGCGTGCACTGTGGTGTGAACCTACCCTGATACTCCCCATTCACACCTAGGCATTGCAGGCACACGCGTCGCGTTCCTGCACATCTGTGGGCGTTTATTTCCCAGGTCGCTATTGATGCCCATTGGGTCCCTGGACGCGTGTCAAACGCAGGAAAATGGCACGTCACCAAGTTTGCAACATGGGTGCTGTGTTTTTCCTGTGTTTGTGAACGTTCATGGGCGGGAAAACATGCCACGTTTGGGTTGCCGTTGACTACTAATGGGACAGCGAGCGCGCTCCGCGTTTCCCTGAAGGTGCGCCTCTGCAGGCACTTGTGCACGTTATTGGAATGCACTGGTGTGGACGGGGCCTTAGAGGTCTATTCCTAAAGCAGTGAGTGTGACTTTCATCGAGCATTCTCTGCTGGGGAATCAATCGCTGCCATGGAAAGCACATGCACCTGGAAGATTCACCTGCGGAGAATGTATGCTGAACTGTATAAATATGCCCCGTAGCGATTTCACTCGCACTATTTGGCTACTTTAATCTCTCCCAGCACCGAGAGATTAAAAACGCTCGGTGTAGGCGTAAGGAGATTAGTGATGGGCTCGGACGTGTTCGCAGCTCCAGGTGCTGAACCCGCCAGGAAGCTGACAGCGCCGCAGCGCCAATCACAGGTACTGAGACATTATCCCGGTCCGCAGCTGCAGAGATCGGGAAATGTCTCCGTGCCTGTGATTGGCGCTGCGGCGCTGTCAGCTTCCTGGCGGGCTCGGCACGTGGAGCTGCGAACACGCCCGAGCCCATCACTAAAGGAGAAGCTCTCACTCGGGCAGGGGTAGGCAAACTCCGGCTGTGATGGAACTACAAGTCCCATGAGCCATTGCAAGATTCTGACAGCCACAGGCGCGACTGTGGATGATCGGTCCTCTTTAAAGGAAGCTCTCACTCGGGCAGGGGTAGGCAAACGCCGGCTGTGGTGGAACTACAAGTCCCATGAGGCATTGCAAGACTGACAGCCACAGGCGCGACTGTGGATGACTGGTCCTCTTTAATGGAAGCTCTCACTAGGGCAGGGGGAGGCAAATTCTG